AAGAAAAGACATAATTTTTTTTGTTGTTTTCAAAAAGTTTATTTTTTAATGACAAGTCAATATATATAAATTTTATATATGTTATGAGTTTTAAATATTTGAATATAATTTAAATAAAACTAATTTATATATATTCATATTAAATAAATAAAACTATTTCATGCATCGCACGGGTTATAATTTAGTTGATATTATATTTTATCTCATTTTTATAAAACTTTTATCACATAAATATATTAATAAAAAATAATCAAACACATAAAATATACTAATAAAAAATAACCAAACACATAAATTTTTAAAAATAAAAACATTATAATGGTAGCATTAAAATTGTTAAGAATAATACTTTCAAATTAATAGTAGAATTACTAAGTATAGTCTTTCAATGACTTATAAAATTTTCTTGATTTTTTTATAATTAAAAATGGAAATAAAAGAGTATAAATAAATCAATAGTTAACTAATAATATTTTATCAAAAAAAAAAATAAATAATTTTAAAAATTAAAATTTATTTTGAGATTAAAAACTATGATTTTTTTCTATTTTTTAAATAGGTTTGAATGTGATTAAAAAAAAGATTGTAAGATAGTATTAGATAGAGATCTAAAGTAAAATTAAAAGAAAGAAAATCATATGAAAATGAAAATTGAAGTAAGCTAAAAAGAAATAAAAAAGCATATATATTCAATATTTTGTTGGCAATTAGAGTGTTATTGAAAAAACTAAAAAATTAATTTGGTTTTTCCTCAACTCAAATGATTATGATTTAAAATTTATAGTAAATCGCTTAATTTAAAATTTTTAAAGTAATTATTAATTGATATAACAAATAAACAAATAGTAATATAATTTTAACCCCTGTTTAATTGTAATAATACATAAACTTAATTATAAAACCGTAAAAATGACAATTTTAATTTGAGGATCAATATATACACATACTAAATATTTTAAAACTTTAAGGGGCCAAAGTTTCCTCAAGCTCTAATAATACAACCCCTCTAAATATATACACTAAAGGTGTTTAAAAACTTTGGAGGAGTCAAGGCCCCTTCAGCTCTAACAACGAGCCACTTTCGATACTAATTAATCATGTTATTTTCCAATTCCAATTCTACTTCCACTCTCAGTACTTTTTTATCAGTATATTAAACAATTTTTTAAATTTTAAATTATGTTATTTTTTTGTATTTTGTATTTTTTTATATTGTATTATCATATTTTAAATTGATATATCTAATAAAAAAATATATAAACTACAGCACCATGCAATTACTACTAATTGGCATGCCCGATCATGTAGTTTTGTTCCAGTTTTGTTTAAGATAATTCAACACTACTCCATGGAAGATGTGTTTTAGACAAAAAAATCTATATATAGACAATTATTTATCTCTTCATGCTAACATCTCACAAGATGAATATTTGATTTTTAATTTTAGTAAATCATATTTAATTTTAACAATTTTAAATATAAATTTTTTTTCTGTCTATAACTTTGGTAGCTAGATCAATGAAACCTTGATTTAATGACAAAGAGGAGATTTCAGAATTTTGAAGTATTCAAGTCTCATCGTATGTGGATTTAATTATTTAGTTATATTTTAATTTAATAATTAATTAATTAATGATATTAAATATTGATATAATAGTTGATTATTATTATTAAAATTAAGTTCAAATGATTAAAAAGATTATTATCTTGTATGACAATGAAGTTTTAAGTTTTACAAGTAAGATTAAAAAGTTAATGCGTATCTATTAAGATATATAATCATTTTACGATTATTTTAAAAAGTTTTCATATTTTGAAAATAATCTTTAGTATATCAAATACATTTTTGGATATATATAATCAAAAAATTGTTCACCAAGCTATCTCTTATTGGTTTAATTTACAAAATTTTTATTTTTTAATTGCTAAAAATTTCTTTGTATATTGTCAATGAACTATGTATTGGTTCATTGTTTGGTTGGTTTGTCTATTTCAAGTAATTAATTGATTTTTATATGTTATATTTGAATATGATTGTAATTTTTTTTATTTTAATTAATAATTTTGTAAAATTGTTTTTTTTTTTTATAATTCAATATCGATTAGTAAAATCAACACTAGTTTTAATATTTAAAAAACACTAAATAGCACTAATAATTTTCTAGTCTTAATTACTTCATGTCATATATATTTTTCACTAATTACATATTGATCCCAAATTATTCTCCTCTATTAATTCTTAAAATTTCAGGCTACGCTACTTCTTGTCATTGAAATAAAACGTTATCGTGGAATTATTTTGACTTATTATGGATTTTGGTTCCATTTTGATCCATTATGAATTCATGATTGTCCTTTTTGGCTAACCGTAGACAGCAGCTCAACTTGCCCTACACGCTATTGGAAACATGGACCAAAATAATAATTATATTACTTGCTAGCTAGTTTTTTTTTTTTTTTTGGTTTCAAGAGGACAGAGTCGGAGGAGGGGAAGAGGTTAGAGTCGAACCCTAATCTCATATCTTCTTAAGGGGTTTTTGCCCACTAGTTAATTAATCAAATATTAACATTCAATTCAAAATTTTTTATTTTTTTGAAAGATATCAGAATTGAGAATAAAAAATATATATGTATTAAAATTTAAATTTTAAAATATTATATTATTTTTAAAACAACTATAAATATCAATTGAATTAAATCAATTTAAAATTTATTTACATTGGATTTAGTAATTGAAGCAAGTTTTTCTACCTTCTTTTAATTTTTAATTTCAGAAAAAAAATTCTGGAGTAATTATGTAGTGGGGAAGCATGAACATTCAATTCAAAATTTATTTTTTGAAAGTTATCAGATTTTGAGATAAAAAATATGTATGTAAATTTAAATTTTAAAATATTATATAATTTTTAAAATAACTGTAAATATCAATTGAAACTTTATTTACATTGAATTTAATAATTGAAACAAAATTTTCTAACTACTTTTAATTTTTAATTTCGGGAAAAAAATTCTGCAGTAACTATGTAGTAGGGAAGCATTTGAGTATAGGAATCAATTAGTCAATTAATAAAATTTACTTATTTATATTATTAGTATTTTTAATAATAATAATAATACTTTATAAATTAAAATTTAATTTAATTGATTTATATAATCATTTTCAAAAATTAATATTCAATAAATTTGTAGGTCCAATTATAATACTTATATTTTTTTCTTTACTCTATAATTATGATTTTTTATATAATAAAAAAACAAATGCGTATTCATTTCTCATAATAGCTAGGTTTATTATGAGTTACAAAAGAAATAAGAACAGGTTTTCAAATTTCAGTCTCATAATAACAAGAATAAACCTAAGCCTAGCCACCATAATGTTCAATTTAATTATTATGGATACATATTTTTCGTAATAAAAATCTTCATTGATTTTACCCAAACAAAAAAATAGGTACATCATAAAATAATTAACTATTTAAGGGTATTATGCATTTCTCCATTTTACATATATATATATATATATATATTATACGAACAAGTGATTGGTTCAATCGATTAAAGTTTAATTTTTTTGATGAAAAAATCTTAAGTTCGAATTCCGTCGATTGTCATTTATTAAAGTCATCTCAAATGCATACATATTTTGTCATGACATAAGAAACTAAACAATCTATCTATCTTTAAATTTTTTTTACAAAAAAAAAGAGTATTCTAAAATTAGTAATATCAGAGGGAACATACAATAAGTGCACATCCTTCTCAGATTTCCATAAAAATAATAAGCTCGAATGAAATAAATTACCCACACCAAGTCACACCAGACCAAATCACAACGGACCAAAAAATAGGAAAAAAACACAAACACAAGCACACTCAGTTTTCATTTAAAAAAAGTATCGGATAATTTATGTATTTATTTTTAATTGTTTTGTATTAATTATATATAAATTATAAAAATAATTTTATTATAATTTTTGTTTATATATTAAATATAAAATATATAATTTTCACCAAATTTATATATAATTTTTACTAAAATTTTAAATTATATAATTTTTTTTATATTTTTTATCATACAACCCAAATTCAAAAATCTCCATTTCTTCCTCTGAACGAGGTTGCACGCCTGCTCTTTCTCTCTCTCTCTCTCTCTCTCTCTCTTTTATATAGTTTTTGTCTCCCTAGTTTTTTTTAATTTGGATTGGGTTTTGTCCGTTTCTTCTCTTCCTTATCATTATTAACTTAACCTAATCAAACCCTATTAAAATCTACTGAATTAAAAACCATCCAATTAAAACATACTTCTGGTTTGGTAGCTCCCCTCTAAATTAAACTTACCCTTGCAATTTCAAATGTCGACTTTGGTTGCTTTGCTCACTCTTCACCCACCAAAAATATACAATCAATTCTATCAGAGAGCCCAACTATATTTTCCTGCACATTTTTACTTCTGCCAACAAATTCTCATTAAACTCCTATCATTTTCCTTGTTTAAATTTTGAAAAACAAAAAGAAAAAAGAAAACTCAGTTTGGAGTACAAAAAACAAAGAAAATCAGGTACATTTTTTCTGTTAAAAAGTCCAAATATTTTCACAGTTGTGCTGCTCAGCTTCCGAGTCCACACTGTCATTTTCTCTATGTAAAACCAAAACCCATTTCAAAGGACAAAAACCTCTGCATTTTTTTCAGACAAAAACCAAGATGGTACAACTTGTGTTCAAAAACGTTAATAGAACTCTCACACTGTCTCTAACTAAAACCGAATAACCTATTGTACAAAGCTCTTCAATTTTCAAAATCACCCCACAACAAAGTAAAAAAACAAAAGGAAAAAGTTGTTATATCAGCATGCATTAAGGCAGTGAAGCCACCACTTGTAGTAAACACTAAACAGAGAGCTCGGCTTTTTCAAAACCAAGAAAACCAAGCAAGAAAGCAGTTAGAGAGAGAGAGAGAGAGAGAGAGAGAGAGAGAGAGAGAGAGAGAGTTGGGTGTTTGCATGGAGAGGATATCAATGGGAACAACCATAACAAGGAGGGCTAAATGGCAATACCCTCCTGCACAACCAACCCCAAGAATCCTTCATTTGCCACGCAGGCCTAGAAGGCAAGCACCAAAGGCAAGTCCTTCAAACCTACCCAGTTCGCAGAAGGAGAGAAAAGGGAAGCCGGAGAGCTTGTTTGATGAAGAAAGGTCTCTTACAAGAGGGGTTGTTCCAGTGTTGCTGGTGAGTCCAAGGAAGTGTGATCAGGAGAGGAGAAGAGAGAGGGTGGCGGAGGAGAAGAGAGAAAAGAGTAGTGTAGTTTTGGTTGAAGAAGAGAAGTGGAGGTTCCAAGCTGAGATGTTGAGAGCAGAATGTAAATTGTTGAGGATGGAAAGAGAGATTGCTGTTAAGAAAATGGAGAGAAGAAGGGTGCAGCTGGAGAGGACCTTGAAATCTGCTGTTCAAACTTTGCTTTCTGTTAGTTTCTTTCCTCTCTTTTTTCTCTGCGTGTTTTGTTTTTATTATTGTCTGGTTGGTTCTTGAGAAAATATTAATTAATGTAGCAGAAGAAAGGAAAGTGAGGTGTTTTTATTTCTTATTATCTGGAACCAACTAGTGAAAGTTGATTGTAATATATTTTCAAAAGACAAAACTTGTTTAGTACAAGTTCTGATTTCAGGCTTTTGTTGGGTTGTTGTTGATAGAATGTGGGATAAGAAAGATGTCCATTGAAATAAGCTCAGTTGTATTTAATTAAGCTGAGCATGTCAGATATAGGCATACGAGCTATAGCAAGCGAAGAATCATAAAAAAAAGGTTTCAAATATTTAGTATTTATTGATTTATTTATTCATAATATTTTCCCACTTTGAATCTCTGTTTATTTCATAAGCTATTGAAAAGAACGTCTGTTGATTTCTTTTCAGATGACACATTTATTTTTGTTTTTGTTTGATACTGTGAGCTTCTGGTTTTAGCCCTGTCCCAAATTAATTTGTTGAATATTTGATTCTTGTCTTCATTTGTTTAATGGCTAAATGTACAGAAACAGGTATGTCAATTCTGAGTCTTTTGCTTTGAGTTATTGTGTTTTAAAAAACAGACAAAAGTGAACATGAGACATTGAATAACATGCTTACTTTGTTTTTTTCTTTTTCATTATTTGAGCATCTGTTTATCTTTTCTTGTTCAACATTAATTTCTTACATTCCTACCTTTTTTCTCTTTCTCTTTTCATATATGTGCCATTCAATGACCTTGATTTGGCAATTGGTTTACAGGGAAAAAAGAATATTTGTGAAGGAAAGAATGTGAGCTTGATATTGGAGGAGCAAATCAATGATTTCGTGGAGAAATTAGCAAAACTGCAAAGGAGGTCAGGCGTCACAGACTTAGAGGTCAAAAAATGTAGTAATTTTGATAAGCAAGTATCTTTTCTCCAAAGGCAGCTAGAGAAGTTTGGAGGAATATCTGATGAAGAAATATGTGTGAAGGAGATTCGCGAGATGGCAGAAGCAAGCTTGTCAATCAAAACGAGTAGTGAAGGGGATGAGAGCTTTCTTTCAAATCGCAACAGCAATGTAAGAATATAACACTCTTCTTTTCCTATTAGTTCTGGATATTATTCTACTCTTTGCAGCGTAGTGATTCAAGATGGGAAGAAAAATAAAAAAAAGGGGTGGGGGGGTGGGGGTGGATTAGAGCTACTAAGTAGTTTAGGATAATTTACAACAATTCTTTTCTTTCGACACATTTTCCAAGTAGTGATAGGAGTTTTAGATGAGGAGTTTTAATTTGTAGCAAATTTGCAGGTGGAAATTTTAAGAAGAAAGATGGAGGGATTGTCAAAGGGGACTTTATTAGAGAGAATGGAGGAGGAATATGGTTCAATGCTCTCTAGAGCTAACAGTTCTACCACTAGTTCTGCCTCCAGCTCAAAGAGGATTGATTATTCTGATTTGTCCTTGCCATCCATACAGCAATCACACAAGGTAAACTCCTTGAATCATCAATCACTGTCTAGCCCTTTATTAGTTCTATCAAATCTTCAAAAACTGCATATTAATCGAGATGGTAGTGAAAGAGAATTTCCAACAGCCGGAGTTGCGGTTGGAGACAGATTTCTGTAAGTCTAGCTTGCTAATTCCTACCGTCGGAGGCTTTCGAATTTGTTAGGCGGAAACATCCACATTTCGTACGAATGACATTTTATTGGCACAATGGTTTATAAGTTGAATTCAGATCACCTAATTTCAAGTCAGATAGCTTAAGCAGAAGAACATAGTATCAACTAGCAGGGTGTGCTTTAATCCTTGCAGCATTTTTGCTGAAGTATAGAGGGCAGCTACAGCATTGCCTTAATGGTTAGCTTTCCTCGAAAAATCAAATCATCCTATTCATTTGAGTACTCCTTGTATTAGACTATTCATTATTTGGTTAGCTGACATGCACATATCTGGAAGCGGGTACATTTGCCTTAGTTGAGCTCTTGAAGAATTTGAGCAAAATGATAATTAGACCGTTTCTACTTTTCATTGTTATTGTTCAAACAATTGTGGGGTCTAAGAATACTATGTCGTGTTAATTTGGTTTTATATTATAGAGAGAACACTCTTGTCAAGTTACTGTTATTTTCTCTTACCATTAATTCCAAACTGGATAATGAAGGAGCGTTAATTAAAATTTTTATTATTTGTTAATTCAAGTTGACTGTGCAATACTGGCATTTACTATGATATCTGTGAAAAAGAGGACCGCTTATTCTCTTTCAAAGTTTTGACAAAAGGTTGAACTATTAGAATGTTACAGCAAAGCAAACATGACTTCTAAAATAAGACAATATATTGCAGTTAAGCCTTAATTTTAAACTATAAGTGAAGGACAATATTGTTATCTGATTACTGTTGGTGTTCATTAATTTATTTCACAGCAGATAAAAATCTGGATTCCCAATTGATTGCCAGACACTTGTTTCTGCAGGAGAAAATGCCCCATGGTGCAAGAGTCTGTTCAAGACATTGCAAGGCTATAGTGCAGAGGATTGTAGAGCAAGTTCGTGCTGAGACTAAACAATGGTCCCATATGCAAGAGATGTTGGGGCAGGTAAGGGATGAGATGGAAGACTTGCAGACCTCTCGAGATTTTTGGGAAGATCGTGCACTTGATTCAGACTATCAGATTCAATCCTTGCAATCTGCTGTAAGATTTTCATAAGCTACTTATTGCTGGTTATTCTATGTTGTCTCTCAGTATTTATCTATGACTGTTTCAATGGCATCATGGCATTTAACTGGGGGGCAGAGGACGACAAAAGCAACCACATCCTAGTGATAGGTGTTTTGATATTGTGGTCTTTAACTGCAAAGTTTTCTCCATCACTGCATAGGGAGCTATTTTAGTGCTTTCCATGTCTCAAAGTTTGAACCTTCATTCGTTGCTAAATATCACTAAGATTTGGAAACTATGAAGTTAGTCTGTTAGGTTTCAGAATTGGAATTTACTTTTAATTTCATTTACAGGTTTTTTTTTACGCTAAATGCAGTCTTTTGGCTTTATGATGAAATAATAGAATTAGATTAGACAAATATGTCAAGGAAACCTGGCTTCCCTGGTTCAAATTATCATATATATATATATATAATTATATCAACCAGTTGAACTTTTAGTTGCATACAGTTTATTAGGAACGGAAGTTGCAAGTGGCAGAGGGTGGGAATGGAAATTGGTTTGTTATAACTATGAAAATCATGGTGGGCAAAAGAAAAAGAAAGCCTCATTTTTTTTGTAAACACAACTAATTAATTGAACACGTTTGTTGTAGGTGAAAGAATGGAGACAGAAAGCTCTTTCATATGAAGCAAGTGCTAATGAGCTACAGGCAGAAATATCTATTCTTCATGAAGAGATTGAGAGATCGAGGAAGGAAAGAGATGGAAAAATTGTGAAGGCCGGAATTAGTTCACCTATTAATCAAGAAGCACAAAATGAAACAGAGAAGCGGGTACTTGTGTGTCACTCAAAGGAAAACCATTGTGCATATGGTGATGGTTGCAATCAGAAGGAGCTCTCAAGGGATGGAAGAAGAAAGACCCAAACATGCACTGCTGGACTTCTCCCGAGACGCTCACCCCTGAGAGAAATTGGTAATATGTCAGCACTGATGAAGCAGCATGGTGAAGGACTTTTGCCATTGTTTTGCCTTCATAAAGAGGAAATGAAACGTTCATTCTAGACGATCTGAATCCCGACATATAAGGCTATCAAGTTTCGCAAGTACATAACCTTGTGAGCACACACAGTTGATAAGCAGTACATCAATCACTGGGCGGTTGGTTTTGAAGCTTTTCACTATTTTACCGCTGCTTCCTCGGAGAAGAGGGCGTTGTAAATGTAGTCTAACAAACACATTCTGATGCCTACCAACAATTTGTCTAATGCTGCCACAGCTAATGCACACCAGATAAATCAACACAATCTTGAGTTGGCTAGTGATGTATGCAGATGAGAAAGGTGTTCTCAAAATTAATCCATCTGATCAATCCTGTTAATGTTGCCAGTTAAAGTTTGCTTAACTTTGTTGAGCTCAGAATGTGTTCTCTTTGATCAAATAAATTAATAGCAGATACTCCAAGGAGGTTTGATAATAATCTTACATGCCAAAAAACCACCTAACAAATTACTACTTTTTATTACTTCTATGCGCTGCTTTTCTTTTCTTCTTCAAAAGATGCCAATACCAGCCTTATTTTCCTTTTAAATATTGCAAGCAGCGTTGGATTTCCATCACATTCAAACCTTTGAACATGCTGCTTTCATTATTTATTTCTCTCTCTCTCTCTCTCCAAATCATTGAAAGATCCCCTTGACCTTCCTCATGAAGAACAGGATTTCACTTTATCTGACTGAGTAGTTGGCTTGCAAATATCATGTTGTAGATGCTTGTGCTAAAGCCAAAAGCTCAAAATGCTAGTGAATAGCGATGGCTCTGATATGCTACCGGATCACTTTGAATTTTGGTCCACAATGACCCAAAAAAAAAAAAAAATTGCTCCAAAAGCTGATATATATGAGTAGTTTCCTCTCCGCATCCAAAGATCTTCAGTTGGATCCTTGGCTAGAATAGATGAAGATATTCCTGAAATATGCTTCTGTAAGTGTTAGCTGAAGTGCAAGGAACAACTCTTCCCTCCCCCTCCCATTCTTTTTTTTTTTTTTGTGAAAGTTCCCTGCTTCAGAGGAAGTTGTTGACTTGAGCGCTACGGCATGATCGGGTTCTTGGGTTGTTGAAGTATGAACAGGAGGGGTGGTTGGGAGGTTGTGGTAGAAGCAGTAGTGATGGGTGCTTTGGAGCTTGAACCACCGGCATAAATGGATACTTGGGAAGACAAAGCAATAGTTGTTGAATCAACCTTGCCCCTGCCTCTTGGCGTACCCTTCCTCTAGCCCTTGTCCGTTTTGTTTGATTTTGGTTTAAATATGTAAGCATATTTTTTCATTTTTTTAATCATCCATGTGCAACGCACATTTAATTAAAATGTAATATATTAAAAAGGTTAATTATGTATGAAAATTGGAAAGTGTTAAAAACTAAAAGCTCGCAAAATATGCTTCCACAGGACAAATTGACAAACAGGTTTCTCATTTTACAAACCAATATACAATTTATTAGTTCCATATTAATTCCACTTGAAGGCAAGGATTTTGATAACCTACAAAATCTGGGATTAATAAGACAATCGTTTACTTGGATGGTAAACATATATACAAGTAAACAAATCTACAAATATCCATGCTTTCCTCATTGAATGGATTCATTAAAAAAGGGTTTTGGAGGATTAAGTAAAAGGATTATTGTGGTATGATTATTGGGGAACAGTTAACAAGTAGAAGCTCATGAATATGGTTAACAATTTGAAGGTAAAAAGCAAAACGGTTTTCCTCATTATGCCAATTAACCAATACATAATTACTTTTAATTGTAATTCTACTTCAATCGATTTTGGTAACCTCCAAATCTTGGAATAATACGAAAAACAAATGTTGCAATTAAAGCAGCATAGGACAATAATTAACTTGAATAGCGACATAAAATGGAGCAGGTCTATAAATACCCTATAATCAGTGTTTTCGTACATACATAGATCTCTGATTGCTTTGATTCTTCTTGTATAGTTTTCACCATGATGCAGAAAAATCCGATCCAGGGTCGCCAAAAGCTGGCGATGAAAAAGATAGCAAAGAAAAATAATCTTCAAGTAACGTTCTCCAAACGTCGTGCCGGACTTTTTAAAAAGGCTAGTGAACTTTGCACACTTTGTGGGGTTGATGTTGCCATCATAGTCTTCTCCCCGGCAGGCAAGGTATTCTCATTCGGCCACCCTCAGGTTGAGTCCACTATTGATCGGTTTTTCAGTCGAAACCCTTGTCTTCATAGCTCTAACACGCATAAGCTTGTTGAAGCTCATAGAAATGCTAACATCCAAGAGCTTAATGCACAATTAGCTCAACTCCTTGATATGTTGGAGGTTGAAAAAAGGAAGGGAGAAGCATTTGAGGAGATAAGGGAAGCCGGACGGAGGAAATGCTGGTGGCAAGCCCCAATTGATGAACTTGGGTTGAATGAGCTACAGCAGTTGAGAATTGCACTTGAGGAGCTAAAGAGGAATGTCACAAAACAAGGCAACCAGGTTTTGGTTGATTCCAGCCATTGCTGGCCATTTTTGGCAGCAAATGGTATCGGAGGAGGTGTTTTTCCTTTTGGAAATGAAGGATATGAAATGGATCCTGCTTCCAGTATTACTCAAATGTATAAATTTGGTCATCAGGGCCTGTTTTGAGGCTAGTAACTCACTAGCTAATTGCTATCTACTTTACAGGTTTTTTTTTTTTCTTTAATATATTTTTTTAATGAAATTTCAAATAAAATAGATGTTGAAGTCGTAATATAATGAGATTTGAACATAAAATCTAAAGTTTTAAGGCCTCTTCTTAATCATTAAACCAAAATTTCTTTGGCAATGTGTTACGGTTTTAAAATGATAAATGTTGAGCTTATGTGCAGCGGGTAAATCTAGAATTTATGGTTTTCTTTTGGTCAATAATCCATAATTTATACTTAGTGAGGGCAAAATTTGTTGAAAGGTATTTATTTATCATTTACAAGCAATAAAATTACAAATTAAACACTTTTATCAAACATATAATGAGAAATATTTTTTATAATCTTATTTATTCAAATCATGCATTTTTATTCAAAGGTGAGTAGTAGTGCATTTTCAATTAAATTTATGATTAATATTTGTTTAAATTATTTTCATACTTAATTTAAAATTATTAAAATTTCAATAAAAATTTTAATTGAAAATGCATTACTCACTTTTAAATAAATTTATGTAAACTTTCATTATTTTTTAAGTAATGAAGATGATATTTTCTTGTTAGCTAAAAAATAAAAAAATTACACGGTTTGAAAAATTCATATATTAATTTATATATTTTTATATTTCAGATATTCATTTATATATTTTTCAAAATTTGATATGAAAACTATCATTATCCAAAAATAAGTCTTCGTTATGTCCCAAAAAAAAAGGAGGCTGATGGTTATACTAAGTAAATTTTTTTCTTATCATTTTAAATAAATTTAATTTAATTTAGGATAGATTTCAAATTTTTAGATTGCATTTGGAAAATTGAATTTAAAGGATAAATTATAAAGTATTTTTAATTTTAATTATTTTTAATGTATTTTTACTTTTAGATCATGAGCATATCCTATCCTTTTGTTTAAATAGAAGTCTTCACCAGATTTATCTCAACTAATCAATTTTAACGTGAAACAGAACGGAAATTAAAAGGATATTCTTGTTTGTGATGTGTTCACAACAAAATGTTATTATATTGGTGAAACTAAAAGAGAATGGCAAACTAATCAACTTATGTGTGATGTCTATGATTTCTTGATTTGGTAATTAAGAAAACTTAAAAAGACATGTAAGGTGAGAATTCGAAACTTATCATTTCTATTTTTTATCTTTTAAAAAGAAGAGAAGTGAACTAATTAACTCGGACAATAATCACACTAAATTATGATTTATTTTAACAATAAAAAAAATTAAATGTAACAATTATAATTTAGCTATAACAATATGGTAAGCTATCATATAATATGAATGCTTTAATATATATTATCAAAATTGAATTGAATAATGTCGAGTTTCATATCAAATGATTTAATTGTTGGATTATTATTGAGTTAATAAAAAATATTTTAAATATTATAATTAATATTATAAATTATATAAATATTTTATGTAATTAGATAAATTAAAATTTATGATATAAGAATAAAAATATTTAATATAAATTAAAAATTATGATATAAGAATAAAAATATTTAGTCATTTGAAAACAATATAACACATTAAACTTACAAAGATTTCTTTAGTTTTATATATATATTTTTTATTTTAAACTTTAAAGTAATATATTTTTATTTTAAACTTACAAAGAATCAATTATTAGTATATAAAAATTAAGTTCGGTGTGATTTTAAAGTCATTTAAAAAGGCATATTTAATTAGACATGTCTAAAGGTTGAGTTATCTACTTAAGCTTAAAAACTCACAAATATTTAAGAGAATTTAAACAAAAATATTAAACCTATTAAATAAATTTGAAAAAAAAAACATACATTCAAAAACTTAGTAGAAACTTAATTCTATTTTAAATTCAGGCTTGATCCAACTCGATCCAACAATAATTATATTAATACATTTAATAAATATTTATAAATTATAAAATATAACAACTTTTAAAAAAGCTTATTTATGATATTAATACATATATTAATAAATTAATAACCACTTTTAAAGTATTAATAAATTAGTTAAAAAGGCTATCAATACAAATTAAATAGGGTTATTTGTTCAAACTCAGAAGATTCACCTAATATTTGGAGGGTTGGACAAAAATATTAAATTAGTTAAATGAGTTTGAACAAAATATAAAAGCTCAATTAAAAAATGATTTGAGTCTTGGCTCCACCATTCAAGGTCTAGTCTAATCTGGTTCAATTTGTTTCTCAATTATATAATATATATTATTTTTATATTTATATATACTATATAATTTATAATATAAATAATAAATATATTATTGTAACAATTTTGAGACAACTCGATGAATTTAAAAAAAAAGAGTTGTCACTAATTTTTTTTGATTAGGTGTGATTGGTCATCTATTAAAACTTACTTTTTTAATAAAATTTTAAAATTAATTAAAATTTATTAAAAAGATAATTTTTAGATATGTGAAAATAATTTGGGTTTAGAAGTATGATTATAAGTAAGGAATGATTAGCACCCCACGACGCCTGTTTTAAAAATGGTATTAATTAACCATGTGTTATCTTTTAATATTGACAATAGTGATTTTACATTTGGTATTCAATATTAATTTTCTTAATTTACTTTATTGTAATAAAAAAACATATTTTTATTTTTTGTTGCTTGCTCAAAAAATAAATAAGAACTTTGCATATTGAAAATTTTCTAAAAATATTCCAATACTTTAGTAATATTAAAAGGAACTTTCTCTTAAGAATTATTACTAGAACATCTTAAGAATCCTATTCTAAGCGGTTCATATTTATCTTCAATATTTATATTTATCATGCATATAGTAAAATATTATGTTTATAATTTAATCCAAATAATATTTTTTAAAAATTTGTTACTTATTCTATTTATTAAAAAATGAGAAATCTTTATCGAAAATTATTTTTAATGTTCTAGTATATTGGCGGCATTTTAGATAAATTTTCTTATTTAGAGATTTCTAAAAAATCACTACTCAAATTTTTTAGGATCTCGTTCTCAGAAGCTCGTGTTTATTTTCCAAGAATTATGTGCATGCAATGTAAATGACAAAATATTAATGCTTATATTTTATTTTCCCTTTTTAATTAATAATTTTTTTTCCTTTTTGTGTTCATTAGTTTTTTTATTATTTTTTTTAGAAAAGGGAAGTTTTTAATGTATTGAAAATTTTTATAAATACTTCAATTCATTGGTAGCAATTAAAAAAATTTTCTTACCTAAAGATTTTTTAAGTCTCACTACTTGGACAACCTCAGAATCTCATCATTGGGAATTTTTTTTTAAATTATTGTTTCACCTTAAATTTATACAATAATACCATTATCTATAAATAAGTTTATTTCCTAAAAATGTATACTTTTATAGATATTTTATATTTTTAAAGAAAATTTTCAAATTAAAAAATGAGAATCTTTGTAGTGAAAAGAGCTTTTAAGTATTCCAAAGCTTTGGCAATTTTTAAAAACTTTTTCTCACATAGAGAATTCTAGGAAGTCATTATTTGGATTTCTTGGAATCCTATCATGGAAAAAGATTTTCATTTTCTTATTAAATTTTCACAATAAAATTCCTATACTAACATAATTGCCCATAAATAAATATACTTTTTAGAACATATGGTATTTATTTATTGACTCCTATCTAATTTTTAAATTACTAATTTATATTAATAAGCATTAAAACAAATAAATGCAAAACATAATTAAATAAAAGGAAATTACCCAACTAAACTTTTGAACTTAAGCCTAAAACCATTCAAGTAATGGAGTCCAAATTTGTAGCTCAAAATGAGCCCACATAGACTGGGTCTCCCTTAGGTCATGGGCTGGATTAGCAATGCTGTAGTAGTGCGAGTTGATCTTTGGATTGGGTTGAATAAATGGGTCAGTTTGACCTGCCTAGTTCCTTCCATTTTTTCTTTAAAGCTATAAAACCTTAATTCTTTTTATTTCATTTATTCTCTTTATTAAAAAAATTATTATTTTTTAAATAGAACTCTTTATAAACCCAATTTTTGATGCTTTTATGGCATTGCCACCATTGCTTTTCATTGTTGGCACCTCCATTGGTCGACCCTTTTTTGACCCAAAATTTTACTCCGAAGCTTTTCCTGCACTTTTTTTTTTTTTTTTTGACCTTAGTTTTGCTTGAAATCCAAGTTTGAAACTTCAAACCTACAAAAACTCATCTCCCATTGTCTGATTTGGTCAAGACTAAGATATATTCTCCTTTTCCCTTAGATCTACCTTTTCGCTGTCATCGATCAGCCAAAAATCTCTTCGTCGATGTTTGCCCCTTATGTCGCCATTCCTGCTGTTGTTTTTTTCTTCTTTTTTTGTGGTGCTGGGTTCCTTATGTAAGGATTGTGGTTGTTTTGATTGATTTTTTTTTTATTTTTGGTTGTGACAGGTTTTTGGTTTTTTTTTTTTAATTTTTTGATGCTTTTTAATAGTTTTTTTGGGGTTGAAAAGGTTGTTTAAGCATCACCTAAAGGGTTGTATTTTGGATAATGTTGAATGGTTGTGGTGGATGATGGTTTTTTTATTTTTGGAGAGATTTAGGGTCTGATAAGGGAGTGGATTCCAAGTTTAATTTGTGGGTATATGATTATACAGAACTAGTGTTTGCCTGGGGCTAATTTTGTGGCTAGGTCTAGATGGTGGTAGCTAAAGTCTAGTCGATGTTGGTGATGTATGGTTTGGCTAACAGGGGTTTTGAGACTATCATCGTGGTTTTTTGGTGATCATAAGAAAGTTCTAGATTGGCTGGGATGGCGCTAAGTTGGAAATATGAGTGTTTTTTTTTTGTTCTTCTTTAGGAGTAAAAAATTTTTCTCTTTCCCTGTTTTTATTGTAAATTTCTTTTAGACTTTTTAATCTATGAATTCTCATAATGGACAAATTGTAGGTGATGCAATGTAGTAGAGGACTATTGTGGCAAGGTGTAGGTTAGTGGAG